GATGGAAAAAAGTATATTTTGTTTTGGTTATATTTAGAGATAATTTGTTTGTATTAAGCCATTCAGTAAGATTTAATTGGTCTTTGTTTACTGACTTAAACAGAATATTTATATCATTATGTGCATAAAATAGTTTTGTGTCATCTGCAAATAAAATTGTATCTAGTTCAGTGTAAGCTTTGTTTAAATCATTAATAAAAATGAGAAATAGGAGTTGGTCCTAATATAGATCCCTGAGGAACCCCACATGTTATGTTTATATTGGTCTTTTATTTTTGTTATAAGAAATGTATTGTTTTCTATTTGACAAATAACCTTTAAACCACGCAATATTTATATGTTTAATATCATAGTTTTCTAATTTTGTTAATAAAATGTAATGATCAACAGTCTCAAAAGCCATACTGAGATCAATAAATACACCTAATGTATATTTATTTTCATCAAATGATTGTAGAGTGGCTCTTTTTAAACCCAAATGGCTTACTATAGAGAATATTGTTTGCATCTAAAAAGTAATACTATCTTTTATACGTAATGTGTTCTGATAATTTTGAAAAGCATGATAGTATGGAGATAGACCTGTAATTGGAGACACTAGTCTCGTCTCCTGATTTTAGTATAGGTATTACCCTTGCAATTTTAAGTTTATTGGAAAAGATTCCTTGATTTAAAGAGATTGTAAATATATGTAAAAGCGGAATTTTTAAATAAGGCATTGATTTAATTACTACATTACTGCTTAGCGCATTACTTGTTAATAAAATGTAATGATCAACAGTCTCAAAAGCCTTACTGAGGTCAAAAAATACACCTAATGCATATTTATTTTTATCAAATGGTTTAAATATATCATGAACAAGGTGAACAATGATCAGTAGAGTGGCTCTTTTTAAACCCAAATTGCTTACTTTAGAGAATATTGTTTACATATAAAAAAAGAATATTCATAAGCAAGCACTCCAATTGTTGAAACAACACAAATTAAACTAAGTTTATTGCCACGATTTACAGGTGACTGTAAAATTGCTGGCGTACCTCCGTTAGTGTACACATTAAATTCAGTTTCATCCAAATAAATAAGTTTTTCATTTGAAATTCCGTTAATTTCGCTAGCAAATGCATAGCGTGCATTAATAATTCGTGTTAAATTTCGTTCTTCTGGCACATGCACAACACGTTTTCTTAATAAATCCGAGCGTTTGAGTTTTCTTGAAATAGTAGGTTGAGACATGTTGAAGCCTGCTGCAGAAAGATTTTCTTTTATTGCTTCTTGCGTGCAAAGATTGTTTTCTTGTACGCATAATTCGATAATATTTTTTATTTGAGCGTTTATAGATCTTTTACCTCGTTTTTTATCAGAAAACGACTTAAATGCAGTCATGTCGTCAAATTATCCTCTGTTTAACTTAATGACAAGATTTTGAAGTGTGCGCTTCGATAAATTAAGAGGAGTGTAAATCCTTGTTGTAGATTTATTTCTTTTAATTAAATGCTTAAGCATTTTAATGTGCTCTTTTGTAATATTTTTCCTTGTTTTACGATTGGTACTGCTATTTTCTATTCCATCCATAGGGATGTATAATTTGATATTAATAATAAGTATAAATAATTAATCATATTAACATAGTCATATTAACACGGACAATATTAATCAGTTTAAAGAGCAACTATCATTGCTCCATTGGAAACATATAAACTTTAACGATGACGCAAACTCTATATATGATAATTTTTTCAACACATTATATCCTATCTACGATGCAAATTTTCTATTCATAGAAAAGACAATAAATCCAAAAAAACATTTAGTCCCTGGATTACCAAAGATTTTAAAAAATCATCGAAGATCAAGCAGAAACTGTATATAAAGTATTTAAAAACAAAGTCCCCAGAAAATGAAAAAATATACAAATATTTTAAATATCAGTTTGAAAATACTCGAAAAAATTTGAAAAAAAATTACTACTCTGGCTTAATCGATAAGTATAAAAATAACTCCAAACGTACATGGGAAATAATAAAAGAAATAAGTGGAAAACAAAAAAACTGCTAAGGTTTCCTTCCCCAGGTCATCAAGGTTGATAACAGAATCATCTATGAACAAAAAGAAATAGGTTGCGAGTTTAATAATTTTTTTGTTAAAATTGGTCCTGAACTGGCCAATAAGATTCCAAAGACGCAGGCTATATTTAGTGATTTTCTAGTACCGATGAATGATTGCATTACATCTGGGGAGTTGCCTTCTAAATTATCATTTGAAGAATTTAAAATAGCATTTAAAACTCTGAAAAAAAAAAATAAAGCTACTGGAGCAGATAACATTATTGGTAACATAATTCTAAACTGTTTTGAACAATTAATAGATATTCTCTTTAAAGTTTTTAGCGCGTCAATTAATCAAGGAATTTTTCCTGAACAACTAAAAATTGCAAAAACTACCCAAATTTTTAAAGAAGGCGATAGGACTATTATTAGCAACTACCAACCCATTTCTATCTTACCTATATTTTCAAAAATATTAGAAAGAATTATGTATAATAGAGTCTATGATTATTTTCAATGCAATAACTTACTATATAGCAATCAATTTGGCTTTAAAAAGCACAACTCCACGGAACATGCAATCATTCAATTTGTACGCAAAATTTCAAAATCCTTTGAAAATTCCCAATACACACTAGGTATCTTTATTGACCTATCTAAGGCTTTTGATACAGTAGATTACACAATCTTACTGCATAAGCTTAAATATTATGGTATAAACAAAAAAACTTTAAGGTGGTTTGAAAGCTACCTATCAAACCGTAAACAATTTGTTTCTTGTAAGGATGATTGCCAAAAAAATTTATTAGATATGTCATGCGGTGTTCCTCAAGGCTCTATATTGGGACCCCTCTTATTCTTGATTTACATTAATGACTTAAATAAAGCTTCAAATCTACTTAGCATTATGTTCGCTGATGAAACTAACCTATTCTTTTCTGATACTGACATCTCCAAACTGTTTTGTAATATGAATGACGAACTTAAAAAAATCTCTAGCTGGTTCAAGTGTAACAAATTAACTCTTAATACTAATAAAACAAAATGGATTATTTTCCACCCGCTTCAAAAAAAACGTTACCTACCCATAAATCTGCCTAAAATATTTATTAACCAAATTGAGATTAAGAGGGACTCTGTCATACAGTTTTTAGGAGTCTATCTTGATGAGCACATTACATGGAAACAGCATATTGATCACGTACGTACCAAGATTTCTAAAAATATTGGAATTTTATATAAATCCAGAGATTATCTAAATAAAAAAAGCTTGACCCAACTCTATCATTCGTTTATCCATAATTATATAAATTATGCAAATATTGCTTGGGGAAGTGCTGGAAAGAATAAGTTGAAACGTCTTTTTTCTCGTCAGACACACGCAATTCGTATTATTAATTTTTCCGAGCGTTTTACTCATTCAAAACCTTTATTTAACTAAATGTTTTTTTAACCTTTATTTAACTTTATTTAATTAAAAATACTTAATATTTATGAAGTGAATTTATATAATACTCTATGTTTTGTATATTTGTGGAAAAATAACTTATCTCCTGACGTTTTTAAAAATATTTTTTCTTTGAAACCAGACAATAAGTATGCACTGAGAAATAATAATTTGCTAAATCAAGTTTTATGTCGAACCAAGTTTAATCAGCTTTGTATTGAAAATCGTGCACCTAATCTTTGGAATAAAGTTATTTTGCAAAATTTTGATCTACCTTCCTCTTTTTCTATTTTCAAAACTAAGCTTAAAAATCTAATTCTTTCTATGGAGAACGTTTTTCTATATTACTAGTGTTATGGGTTTGTCTACCTATTATTAAAACTAAGTTTACCTTAGTATATAGTTACATTGAGATTGTACTG